TCTTGTGTCTTGCCCTAGGGTTCGGCTGGGTGCGCAGATGAGGCCTGAAGATGGAGAAAAAGCAAACCCGCGCCCTTTCTGTCCCTCCTCCCAGGGATGGCTGGACTGACAGGAACTACGGCCTAAGGCGTGGAGCGAGATTGCAAGCCCGCAGCTGGGTCTCTTCTCCACCAAGCAGGTCAGAAGGTAGAACTTCAGTCTCGGGTTGATTCCCTTTACCTTTGTAAGGCCCTGGTACACGGGAGCTGGCTTCCCACAAAGAGCCATTCGCGGTGACCCCGGCATTACAAGTCCCCCGTGTGTTTAGCTGGTGGAAGGGTGGACATCTGATTTCAGGGTTCCCAGGAGGAGGGTGTAGTGGCTAATGGAGAAGTCCTGACATGGGGAGGCAAGGGGGCTGGGGTACCCACACCCCCCATGGGTACCCGCTGACTTTGGGTGTCCATGAAAGAAAGCCTACTTTCTCCACCTGTTAGCGGGGGTGTAACACTTGACAGTGAGTGGAGAGGAACTACTCTCTCATCCTCACCCTCCTTCACTGAACCTGTCCTCCGTCCGAAGCATCCTTCCCTTTCCGGAGCAAAAGAATCCTCCCTTGCCCTGACCGGTTTGGCTCAGTGGATAGAGCGTCAGCCTGCGGACTGAAGGGTCCCGGGTTCGATTCCAGTCAAGGGCATGTACCTTGGTTGCGGGCACATCCCCAGTAGGGGGCATGCAGGAGGCCGCTGATCAATGTTTCTCTCTCATTGATGTTTCTGGCTCTCTATCCCTCTCCCTTCCTCTCTGTGAAAAATCAATAAAATATATTTTTAAAAAAAGAATCCTTCCTTGCTTTTGGTCATTTCTGCTGACCTCCCCAAGCTTGCATCATGCTTTGGACATCCCTCACTGCAGCCCCCACTCACTGTTGGCCATTGCTGTTGACTGACTGGCCCAAACAGAACCGCCCCTTCTCGTCCTGGGAAGGGGAGAGGCTGAAACAAACTGATGGCCGCAAAGCATCAACTGTTAGATTTCAGAATCGCTCCCCCATCCCTTCTCAGTAGTCTTGTCACCTTAGGTGGTGTTGTTAGCCGTCAAAAGAGGGACATTCGTTGAGATTTAGAACCCACTTGGGGGTCATTTGGCCCATCTCTGGAATATCTCAAGCATAGGGCATTTCCCATAATTGGCAGCTATGATGGCACTGAATCTGAGTCACGTAAGTGGCACCTGTCCGTAGGGGATATGAGGCCTGCAAACTTCTGATCAGCCCGATACATCAATCCCACACTATGTGCTCCAGAACAGGATTTGGGTAAAAGTGGGTCTATCTGCCCTGGGCCTCTCTCCAGGCACCTCTTTTCTCTTCCCGTTTCTCATCAGCTTGTCTCGCCTCGCTCGTCTTCTCTTCCTGGCTCTGAGTGTCGCCCAACTGAAGCAGTAAGCACGCGTGCCCAGTTTGCCCTGAGTGCATCACTGAAGAGAGAGACCTCCTCGGTCTCTAGGCCTTGACTGCAAAACGGAAATTTCTCCCCCCAGGCCATGGTCCTGACAGCTCTCTGTCCCACATGAGTGCTCGACAGAGGTTTCAAGCGAGCTTAGCTTCATGGTAAGCAGGGAGGTAGTTCAACCCCAACACAAGGGGGAAAGACATCCACCTTCCTTCACTGCTTGCCCCCCTTGTCACCCACAAAGCCAGTCCCCAAGGCCTCTGAAGAGGGGTGTTTGTGTCACAAGATGCTGGGCTCTGCCTGCCAGTTTCTGATTCAGGCCTCTGTCTCTGGCTTTACTGGGAGAGCCTGGCAATGCCTTTTCTACCCCAGCATGCAGTTCTACGCCTGGACTCTACCTGCTCACTTCCTCTCTGGGATGTGGGGATAGTGACTTCAAATAAC